CTATTGGCAACCACTTTTAATTATCTGACTGCAATTATATTCAGCATATGGCTAAACTGTTGCATCCTTGCAAAGTTTGAGCTTCATAGCATTTTGATAGCTGCAGAAACTTCCAAGAAAATGTACTTAAGGGGCTGCTTATTGGAGCAGGGTGTTTATTATGTTGAATACGGTAGGCGATTTTGAGAGCAAGGCCAAAGTGCAAAGGTCAAAATTACAGAAACCATTTGATATATGTTTAGCCCAACTACTTACTACCCAGATGCTAAATTTCACTTCAGTAGCTGCCAAATTAGCAGACTAATGCCCTAGCTTGGATTTTCAATATGGCTGCTGTGGCGGCCATATGGAAAATCGGATCTGAACCTCTTGAACAAATCTAGGTGTCATCATTGCTCGAACATGCATGCCAAGTTCCAGCTCCATTGGCCCAGTAGTTTCGGAGAAACTGTTTAAACACGACAACAGACAAGCAGACCATGGCATAAGCCCACCGGACCTTTGGTCCAGGTGAGCTGAGAAAGGGCTAAATGACAATGTAATATTTGTACAACCTCAAGAATCCTTGGTATCTTTCTTGAAGGTTCTTGTCCTTCTTGTGCCTGGCTTGATTCTTGGGCTTCATTTCTAGAACAGCTCTTTCTTTTGACACTGTCACCTACCAAAGCACACAAAAACATCTAGAAAAGAATTCATGTCATGAATACTCCCCCTTCCCACTTAACACAAAACATTTTTCCCAATTCATCTGCCATGGGCCCTTCGTAAAAAATCCTAGATAAATCCTTGTCATAAGAATCATCAGTGAACAGATATTTTTACTAAACAAAACATAAAGAATCACACTGAATATGAAGTATTACATGTATCACTCAACACTGCTCAAAGATGCATCATCACATGATTGTGATAAAACATTATTTGACGAATCTGCAAAATTGTTGATTATAGTACTGAAGATTGGCAGAGGAAAGCTTTAGAAGGAAGTAATAGGTGTATTATTCCGAGATGACCATCTGCGACCATAATTTCACAGTTTAGAAACAATTTTTTAAACTGGATTGAAGAAAACAAAAAGTCCAAATTTTTAAACAAGAAACATTAAAGCAAAAAATTACATTATTTCTGCAAAATGCTGAAAATTTTACTGAACTGATTGTGTAGATTTAACATTGTTGAATTAATATTATGTACCTTTCTTCACTTGGGTCTTCTTTAGCTCCTTAATCACTTCTACATGTACCACTTGTACATCCTCAGAAGATTCAGGCAACTGAATGTTCTCTTGAAAAAGAAGAAGAAATCAGTTAGAATTTCAAGAATTTACAAGAACATACTGCCATAATGGATATCATGATAGTAACATTAGTTACTGAAAGGCCTAATTTTAAGAAAAATGACAATTTTGATTTTTTTAAAAATATCATTGTAAAATTAATATCCTATAATATTATCAAGTTTAAGCACAAATGGATAAGTTTCGAGGATGTCAAGTAATGACCATGTTAATGGAATACACACCTGCATGGTTGTTTGCCTCTTTTTCCTTCCTAATTCTCTCTACAACTGCTTCCGCCTCCTTCGCCAATTGCACTTTGTCATCTTGAAGAGAAAATAAAAGTAGATATAGTTCAAGAAATTTCTTTAAAATCAGGCCCTACTTCTATGACATCAGCTTGATCAAATATTTCCTACATAATATGTTACAGCTGATGAACTAAGCATGCCATTGTTTCACTGGCACCAAAGGGTTTGTATATAAACTGACAAGGTTACAATTTAAAATCCATAGTGAAACGATGTAGGCTTACACCAGTAACAAAAGTGCTATCCTGTAGGCAACCTTTTTCATTTTCTATATCAAATAGCAAGTGATGAATGATTTTTCAAAATATATAAATTACAGTAAGTATTCTTAGATGATTCTACACTTCATGCCAAACATCATCAGCCTACAGATTAAAAATGAAATTCACAGAAATCTAGACATTGCGTCATAAATGATATGCGTGAAAACATCTTGCCGAAGTTAAGCTGAATCTAAAGTCTTTAAATTATTCCTTTTTTTTGGTTAGCCTATTCCATTATTCGGCCCATTATTAAAGCCATGCTGAACGGCTTACAATTCCAAATTTCGACCCCGTATTTCAAGTACATAGAGTAGAATATAAAAACTAGTGAGTTTGTTTTACATACCTGACACCCGAATAATTTCCGCGGGGAAAAGCTTTCCACGATGTTTTGCCTGGACCCTGTCCCCTTGTTGGTATTCCCACGCCTCTCTCCTTGGCACAGTGATTGTGCTGACTGACTGGACGCTGAAAGCATCTTCCAGATACCACAACAAAGCTGCGTACTGTGGTTGTGAAGACATTCTTTCTTTGAGATTCGGGCGCGTTTTAATTGTGAAAAATACGAAATACTTTATCTATATCGTCGTGTCGAGAGCCTGGTCTATGGAACCGCCAAAACTTGAATATACCGGAAGTTGCGCAGGAGACTTTAGGTAATATTAGATCCGTGGTACCGTATCCAGGTTCCAGGGTACTTCTACCTGGAATATTGGCCCTGACATCCGGTTGCCGTTTATCATTTTTTTTCAACAAAAAAGACATAATTTATCAAGTTGTTTCTAAATAAATATTCAAGAGTTATTTCAATACTTTTGATAATGAAATATTGGAATTATTTTGAAGACAAATATATTTTTGACACAACTCTTTACACTGCCTCCGATTGGAATCCTGCAAGTGCTCTGCCAGCGATGCCTCTACTGACCATGCAAGGAACTTTTACCAATCATCGCCCGCCATTTTCGTCGACAAAGAAGAAATCTGAGACGTTTTAGTACACACAAGAAATGCCGCTCATTAAATAGTCTTAGTGACAAGAAGAAATGCGAAAATGCAGCGAAACAAAGATCATTCCTACGTGAAAACGGACGTTGATGGACAAACGAAGTTTCAGTGCTTGTTGTGCAAACGTCTTCTGTCCACTAAACAAAATGTGATACGACACCTGCACACAGCTCATGAACTCAGTAAGTTTTTTTCTTTTAGATCCAGCATGTTTAATTCTGCACACCTAAACCTGGAAGCATTGATTTTCTTTGCCATTGGGGTATGACAGCATTCAAATCTCTTCTGATAAAACTTTTCGCGAAACCGCATTATCGGTAGTTCGAGAAGGGAGCTAACTCCGTTTTCCTAATCGAAAGTTCGAGGTGGGCCCACATTCGAAAGTTGGTTGGTTGGTTTGTTGTTTAACGCCGCACTCAGCAATATTCCAGCTATATGACGGCGGTCTGTAAATAATCGAGTCTAGACAAGACAATCCAGTGATTGATATCATCAGCATCGATCCACGCAATTGAGATCGATGACATGCATCAACCAAGTCAGCGAGCCTGACCACCCGATCACGTTAGTCGCCTTTTGTTTTACGACAAGGCGACTAACGGGATCGGGTGGTCAGACTCGAAAGTAAACGCATTTGTTGTTGAGAATTTATACTTCGTAAACAAACCCGCATAACAAACTCATAATTTGTTTATTTAAAATAAGATGGCAATACAGCAGAACTCACTTCTTCGAACATGGCCAAATTAGGTCGTAAGGTCATTAATATTCATGAGTTATTCCTTTTATGGAACAAGTTCTGGCAAACGTTTGAGGCTTGTATCATGTACGAGATCAATTCAAGTGTAGACATATTTTCAGGCTTATATCGCCACCAACACTTATGATTAGATTGATGTGTTATATTGGAAAAAGTAGAATGAGTGGTATTGCCTCTGTAAATTTAATTGTGAAGTAGATTTAAGTTTCTTGCTTGGTAGCTATTTTTGTAAAACTAGTGTGGTCAGCTATGAGCAGTTATTCAAACTTCAAAGACTTTTGTGCCTTTCATGGAATTAAGGTCTAACGAAATGATTTATAAAGATATTTCCCATCAATATTACAAATAATGAATAATATATGATGTCACATAATGACAAACGTGAGCCCACTAGCCTAAATGGCTTCGTCAACCTAATGAAACCCATCGATTTAAAAATGTGGGCCCACCTGTTTCGATCACTATAAGACGGGAACAATGTGGGCCCACATTTTAGAAAATGGTTATAAGTAAGCCAAGCTAATGAAGCTAGCGATTTTTTAATGTGGTCCCTCCTTTTGTAATCACTATGACGGAAGAACGTCTGCCCACATTTAGGGAATGATTATCAGAACTAACGAAACAAACGAAGCAAGGCGTAATACAAATGTGGGCCCACTTGTGTCGATCACCATAGATGACGGGAAAGATGTGGGCCCACATTTTAGAAAATGGTTATCACCACTAAACCAATCTTAGAAGATGTACGGATGGAAAACATAAATATATAATGCATTCAAACATTTAATTACGCATACGTTTTACCATAGGGATAAAGCTGGGCATTTAATAGCTTGACCAACAACGTACAGCGTGGGTGACGCCATAACTTGCAAATACGAAAACAACGGAGATAGCTCCCGTTTGAAATTAGAGTGACCTCCCTTTCCCAATATGAACCACTGATAATGCGGTTTCGCCAAAGTTTTTAAATAATATCTGGCTTATGACATGGTTACAATTTACAAGGCATATCTGAAAAGTTGCCATCAAAATAAGGGACGCCAGTGATTACAGATAGCCGGAAGTGTCAGGTAACATCGTGTACAGTTGTAAAACAACAGAAATGTTTGATTTTATAATTATTCTGTGTACGTGACTCATCATGCTCATACCTCAAAACGGCAACCATATTAAATAAGTAGGTCTGAATTTACCCATTGGACTGAGTGTGCAGTTTATGTTATTGATTTTGCCGTCAAGTTTTAAACCAGGTGGTCACAAGGGCCTTGGTTAGCAGCAGTGACATGACATTGTACTTTTTAATGTTGTCATTTATAAATACCAAGTAAACATGTACAGGCATAGTTTAAATAATTTTAAATTGCATTTAGTATTTAATCATGTTAGGTCCAGTGAAAAGAATTAAGAAGAGATACTTGGATGATCCAGATGTCGGTGTTCCTCAACGCACAGCAGCAAGATGGAAGAACAAGAACATGCTTGAGGTTTCCCAAGCTTCCACATCGGATGATGTACTTCTTGAATCCAACATTATCTCGGGTGGTGATGTGTTTGATCATATGGATGGACATGATGAAGCTTCAGCATTGACTCAAACGGATTCAGTTGGTATGTTATTGTTTTTACCTGTCAGCTATGTTTGTATGAATTTTTAAATGTAAGTTTTCTGATGGCTTGGATGCATTTGGGAGCCATTCGGAAATATAAATAACTGTCTGATTTAGGCAGCTCTGACAATTCTGTCAGAAGCTTGGTGATTTGTTAATGGTTATAGGAAAGGTCCCTCTGATACGACCCATATGATAATGGTCTAACTTTGGTGGCTGGACCATCCACATTTAGCATGTTTTGTTGATCTGGTAACAGATGAGATGTATACTTTATGACTCCATTCTTCTCTTATTCAGGTGTTGATGTTCTTGATCATACAGATGAACATGATGGACAAGATGAAGCATCAACATTGGCTCAGAGAGTGTCAGTTGGTAAGTTTTTGGAGTATTAGGATTGCAAAGGAAACAATCCAAACTATTTTAAATGTTCTTGTTTATTCTGTAGTAACTCAGCAGCACAGTGCTTCAGGTAATATTTTCAACCAATTGTACTCATTTTCATTAGGTTTGTTTGGTATTTCATAAGGTGCTCATTTTGAGCCCAACTGGCTATGGGCAATGCCCAGGAAGGCTTATTCCATGTATCAAAGATTTATCCATTACATTAACTTCTCAAACAAGACTGACAAGCTAGGGTGTTGACAGGGACGTGGAACGGAAACTGCTTAATAAATGTGTTTGCCTGATTTTGACCGCTGCCGCCGATTCGTCTTTTGGCTATAACTTCATAAGGTGACTTCTATAGGATATCAAACTTTGGACGCCCCCTATATACCCCTGGGAAAACATTTACACTAGGTGGGGCAGATCTCAAAGGTCAAGGTCACTGTATGCAAATGACCACTCAGAAATCCTATGCGGGACGATTTTTCGCAAACTTTGCATTCTTCCCCTTTTGGTCAAACAGTTAATTTTTCCCAATGCAACTGCCATAGGCCACGGTTGGATTTTCCCAGATAAAACACTTTGTTAAAAGTTTCTGCCAACTGAGATAATTGCTTAAGATTTGAATCTTTTATTTTCAGTTACTGACAGTGTATCTGAAGACAGCTACTCAATGGACTACAACTGTGCATCAAGTAGCGAGTTTGTGTCAAGTGACGAAGAAACTGTGTCCTTTGAATCAGATGATACTGATGAGACAAGTAGTGACTCCGATGCTAGTAGAACTGACACAGTTGACCTCTTGTGTACTGATTCTAATCTTTCAATTCAAGAGATACAGGCTGTGAAACTACTTTCATGTTTCTTAAGGAATAACCTGTCTGCTAGCACATGTAAGGATATTATAGTCACCTTGAGAGAAGTTTATCCAGAATCAGCATCTATTCAGAAACTAACTTATGAAAATATCTGGAAATTTGTTGATGATTCCAAAATGAAGGAATGTCATTACTGCGTTCTTTGCAGCCAAGTTTTTCCTGACAATGAAGACTTTTTTGCCTGTGAAAGAGAGCAATGTGATGGCCTCCGATATAAAGGTCCTTTTTCAGCACAAATGAAAAAGGGACGTCAACCCAGACAGAGTTTTGTTTTTGCTGATGTGAAGACACAGCTGTCAAGCCTTCTTCAGAGTCCAGGTAATTGAAGTTTCTTGTATGAGAAAACAAGTAAAATAATGGAAACAATTCTTCAAAACTAATCCATTTAATGATATTACAACAGCAGTCCTTTGATAAAGCTTCTTGATTTTTTTAGCTCATCTGCCCAAAGGGCAAGTGAGCTTAAGTCAGGGCCTGTTTGTCTGTCGTCACCCGTCATAGTCAGCAATGTCGGCATGTGTAAACAATACTTTCTCTGAAACTACTGGGCCGATGAAGCTGAAACTTAGCATGCATGCTCCCACCCATGAGGCCGTTCCAGTTCAATTTTCAAATTCAAGTCATTAGTCGGCCAGTATGCAGATAATGAAGTGAAATTTAGCTGCAGCTCACCTGGAATAGCTTGCATTATGATACTGAAAAGAACAAATTGATAAAACCTATTTTAAATCAGTGGATGTTGGTATTATATTATATCTGCAGCATAGAGTTGCTCTTATTACCCTTGCAAAGTCTCAGCTTCACAGCTGCAGACATCACTGAGAACATGGAGTATGATTTGACCATTGTATTTTGCTTGACTCCCCCAGTCATTGTATGTATTGAAATATGGAATTTTTCTTGGAAATTTCTGCAGCAGTCAAGCTGAACTTTGCAAGGATATTAGTTTGCACTAAAGATTTTGTTGTGATCAGGGAATTCAAAATGGTTGCCATATCAAGCACGTTGAGAAAGCTATTTTTGACCCTTACACTGCCATTTTGGCAGATAATGATATTTAATTTGGTACATGTACATGGTGACTATTGGTGAGAAGTAACAGATGTCTGATGGTGCTTGCGTTATTTTTAATTAGACCTTCATTTGACATTGTTAATGTAATCAAAATCGCATATAATGCAATATATGGAAATGTAATATTTAAGTCAAAGCAGGTGAGCTCTAGTGTCGTGGCACTTTTTTTTAGTTATACCCATGGAAATATAAGACATTATCGAAAGGCTGTTGCAAGATTGAAAATATGGAAGCTGTAAAATTTGTTCATTTCAGGATTAAGTGTATGTTTTGTAATACTGGTTTCCAGATTCTTTTGTCTTTCAAGTAAAACACCTCAAATTTCACCAAAATAACTTATATTGGCTAATAGCTATAGTAAAATAGCTGTGTAATTTGCTGCAGCGTGCAAAGATAATACCCTGACAAGAACTCATAAGGTTTAAAAGCATCTTTAATGAGGTTTGACTGAGTGTCTTTATATAATCCTTTATAAAAGTTATTAGCTGAATGTTAACTTTAGGATTTCTTTCTTCAGGTATTTGGAAAGATATACAAGAAAGGAAGAAGACTCTAGCAGAAAGATGTGATGACATTCTGCGAGACATTACTGATGGGAGAGCTTATCGCAGATTGCAAGATGAGGGACAATTCCTCTCCGATCCAAACAGCTTGACAGCAGTCCTAAATACAGATGGAGTGAACCTGTACACATCTTCGAAAATAGAGTTATGGCCAATATTTCTTTCTGTAAATGAAATGACACCATCACTTAGATTTGCACGTGATAACATGCTCCTTGTTGGGATATGGCAAGGCAAAGGCAAACCTCCATTCCAACCCTACATTCATCTTCTATCCAAGCAACTCAATCCTCTCTATGAAGAAGGCATACAACTGAGCACAACAGCAGAGGAATGGATTCCTATCAAGTTATCTGTTGTATGTGGTATATTTGACCTTCCTGCCAAAGCTGGGATTCTGAATATGACCTACTACAATGGGACAGAAGCTTGCATAACTTGTGAAGAACCAGGTGTGGTTGTGCAGCAAGGAAGAGGACACTCAAGGTGTTATCCTTTCAGACCTGAGCATGAGAAGCACCCTTTCAGGAATGATACAGATGTTAGATTGTCGATGGAGAGAGGCACAGAAAGAAGGCGAAGTAAAGGATTCAAGGGAAAGTCAGGTTTGCTGTCATTGAAAGGATTTGACTTAGTCATTGGTGTTGTGCCAGACTATATGCATGGGGTGCTGTTAGGAGTGACAAAAACCCTGATGTATAAGTGGTTTTCATCTACAGAAAGTAGAAATCCTTTCTTTGTTGGCAATAAGTTAAAAGAAATTTCCAGTCGACTGCAAAGTATCAAACCAATTGAATGTATTGAGCGACTGCCAAGAGATATAGAGAAACATTATAGCAACTTCAAGGCTACAGAACTACAAGCGTGGTTGTTATACTATGCAGTCCCTTGTTTGCTTGACATACTGCCAGATGTGTACCTGAAACATTTTGCATCCTTATCAGAAGCTGTGATTTTGCTGTTGGGTGAACAGATAACACATGAAAGCCTATGTAGAGCCAGGTGCCTCCTGGAGTCTTTTTACAAGAAGTTTGGTGACTTGTATCCCCCCGGTTCATGTGGCCTTAATGTTCACAACATTGGAGAACATCTGTGCTTCTACGTTAAAGAGTGGGGTCCTATGTGGGCCTGGAGTTGCTTTGCATTTGAAGATGCCAATGCAATGCTACTTCAGTCAGTTCATGGGACAGGGAATGTCCTGAAGCAAGTTATGAGGGCACGACAAGCAAGGGTATTTTTACGTACACTTGACATCACCCAAGGTGAATGTTCAAAATGGAAGAAGTTGCAGGATGCTGCAAACTGTTCAATGGCTGGTTCACTTCAACCTGTTGCTGAAGATGACCTTACTGAAGAGATATTCAGAAGATTACCAGTGACCAACCTGAGAGAAGTGAAGAAAGTTTCAAGAGTTTTGAATGCTGATGGGAAACGACTGTATGCAGAAGCATATACAAGGATGCAAAAAAGGGACTGCATGTGTTGTACTTCTTCAAGATGGAAGCGTGGCATCGATCAAGTACTTTGCACTTTGTCTACATTCAAATGTTGTGTATGCCATCTTAAATTTATACAAAATTGAAGGACGGAATGTAGTTCATGGTTTTCCTTCTGGACTGCACATAATACCAGTCAGTAGAACCAGAGCAACTGATTGTGTCCTTGTTGAACAGATTGTAGAACGGTTGATCTTGATCAGCACAAATGCTGACAGTACACACAATTTATTTGTTGCTAGGCTCCCAAACATTCATGGACACTCCATATTTAAATAAATATCCATCATTTTCTGGACATTAGTTAGCCTACATTGCGGATGTCAGGGAGAACAGTTACTGTAACTGTAGTTTTGTCTGCATTAATTTAGTTAAGAGGCTGATATGACTGATGGTTATTTTTCATAGTTTATTTGCCATTTCTACATTTACAGTGGATGTAGTTTGATACTTTTACAGGGATAATAAGCACTGAGTGCTTTATTCAGTCACAATATTAAAATTAAATAATCAGTAATAATGGAAGTGATTCACATGATGAATACATATTATAGTTCACTACTTGATATTTTGTTTTCATCTCTTAGTTCCTAATCTTAGACACAATAAGATTTCACCTTTGTAAAGCCAAACAATTAGAAGGATAAGTATTACTTTTTTCTCTCATTGTGTTTTCCTACAGGTCATAAAACATGCGAAACATCAAAATACTTTGATGAATAGTGTCTGTCTGTTGAAAGTAATATGGAACTGCTATTCATTAGGAGAGGTTTATTATGACTTAAGTAACAATATATTGATGGCGAAAATGCAAATACAAGTAATTGTAAATTTAGATATGAAATGTTTAAGTATGAACACCATGTTTACATAAAAGTCTTATAAAAATTCCTTGAACTTCACAGTTTTGTTTCACTTAAGGTCAAGAAGTGAGGTCACGAATAGTTCATGAAATGAGTTCACGAACATTTGGTGAATCCAGTAGTTCATGAACTTCAATTATTTCATGAAGTGTATTTAATGTTCGTGAAAAGTTCGTGAACAAAGGTTCATGAACTAGGTGCGTGAACTATTGACGAACAGTTCATGAAAATTTCACGAAGGCTTCACGAACTGTTCATGAACTTTTCGTGAACTCCACTGACTTCGTGAAATATTTTCGCCGGGGATACCCGAACCGAACCGACACAAATACGAGGACATCGTGGTTTGAGATTCATACCATCACGTTACATCTTCATAGTATAATTAATTCGTGATTCACGTCCACCCTGTTTGTAAATATGGTCGAAAAAGAGGGATGTATGTTGTAATGTAATGTAATATTATAGACCTTGACACTTAGATGCCTTCAAAATCAGTTCTGTATATTCGAAGATCAGTTTATAAAGAAGTTATTCTCTATTCGCTTTGTCCGTTCAGAGAAGACTTACAGACAAACAGACATTTGGTATTTAAGGCCACATGGTCCACTGTACAGTTGACATTTCAGTTTCCTTGGTTTAGTCACGTGATATAGATGGTATACGAAAACTATCTGACAGAATATATGTTTCAATAGTATGGCTCGTGAACAACAATACAGCAGAGTTGTTGGATTTTATAAGTTTGATCATTAACGTCTTGTCTTTATGCATATTGTTAAACATCGTAATATACTTTTTTCTGATATGTTCATACTTATCACATACCAATAAACATTACATTCTTCCTCAATATCTCCTTATTGGCAGATATCCGTGCTTTTGGGTTTCACCAAAGTGGTAAACGTCAGAGACCTGCATCACTTTGGGCTTTCCTCCCACATGAAGCTGACACGCCGCGATATGACTGGAATACTGTTATAAGCGGCGCTAAACACAACTCACTCACTTACTCACTCACCTTATTGAGAGTTCCTACAGATACCCATTTCACGTTCTCTTTCTTCACATGTACGTGACTTATAGGAAACAGTATAGACCTAGATATATCCGCATATACTACTCAAAAGAAGTTAAAGATCAGCCGATGTTTCCATATAATTATTAATCTGTCATGTTGGTGGGTATTGCAACCCACATCCTTCCAATTGTGCGTGTTCTCTCACTTGTTTTGAGTGGTATACATGGATGTTGGTTTTTACATGTTTTGACACAAAGTAAACTTATTCACTTATTCTTAATTATACTTTGCATCCTACTACCCCTAATCCATATTATCTACAATGAAGCTCGCATCGTTACAACATATTCAAGGGGCGGTCGGGTAGCCTAGTGGTTAAAGCGTTCGCTCGTCACGCCGAAGACCCGGGTTCGATTCTCGACATGGGTACAATGTGTGAAGCCCATTTCTGGTGTCCCCCGCCGTGATATTGCTGGGATATTGCTAAAAGCGGTGTAAAACCATACTCACTTACTACAACGTTTTCAAGCCATGCTTCTGCCGTAAATAGTCAAGTCTGCACCAGACAAACCAGTGATTGATATTGTGGGCATGACACGCGATGAACTAAGTCATCGAGCCTGAACTCGACACTCTGAGTCTCCTCGTACAACAAGCATTATAACGCAGAGTGAGTGAGTGAGTTTTACGTTGCATTTAGCAATATACCATCAATATCATGGCGGGGAACACCAGAAATAGGCCTCACACATACATCACACTCCGGAATCGAACCCGTGTCTTCGGCGTGACGAGCGAACTCTTTAATCACTAGGCTACCCGACCGCACCCAGAAAACGCAGAACGCCACGGTTTTTTACGTTATACATGAGCCATATATAATATTGTATGTGCGTCATATACGTAGATTTACGCTGTACCTCTACGACACATTAGTTAAAAAGCAGTTATTTTAAAAACAGTTTGGAAGACGCATGTACATGTACATTTACAACAACCGTGTTTGCTTATGTGTTGTTCAACGCCGCCCTATAACAATATTCCAGCTATATGACGGCTGTCTGTAAATAATGGAGTGTGGACATTATCCAGAGATTGACATCATGAGCATCGATCCACGCAATTAGGAAACGATGACATGAATCAACCAAGTCAAAACCCTGAAGACATTCGCCGTCACAGGTTCGTTTCAGAAGCGACGTCTACATCAACCCGTCCCCTTATTTACTACGGTTTTACAAGGTGCCATCACGATGTGTATCCAAAAATCGGTATAAACTGTTTCCCATCATGATGAATATCTACATGATATATCAGATATAGAGACGAAAACTTTAAACCAAGTCAGTGTAAACCATTTATCATCAGATGAATAACTTCAGGACAGATTAAAGTCAGGTGCTGACGACATGTTACAGTAAGTCGATATTAAACGTTTAACCCCACGATGAATACCAAGAGGCACAATATGGTGGAGCGACGGGACAGTCTTAGGTTAAATCCGCACGTCTGGCGTAACAATCGACATTCACGACCATAATTCCAACGTCGCCTATCTGACCCCGCATCCATTCTCTATCCAAGTCTACATCTTCACCTGCGTTCTCTTAACACCACCAGGTCACTAACAGTTAATTTATGTAAATAATCGCTTTATTTGGACGACTAAGGGATCACCTCCTAATGATGTGTAGTTCACACTTTTGCCGTTAATTTGATATATGTGACAGGAGAACATAAATTGTCTTGGGCCTTTCCATGTTCTTCTAAAAAGGATCTGGACATCCGCTAGACCATGCCCAAAGGTTAAGAAGAATGGTCCGAGACATATGAGAGTCCTTGCCACGCGGATTAATCTTTTTCAACACGTGTCAAAGTTTAAAGAGTAACTAGAAAAAATGAACACCATGGTTTTTTGTAGTCAAGCTGCGGGTTTATGAAAGTAAGACCCGTATCGTTATCCTTCTTCGGCCGTGATCTCATATTTTTATACCACCGGTAGGTATTGTTACATAGCATACATTGGATATTCAAAGGTTCCTTTGTTGACATTTTCCATACATTGCCACGATTCGGGTGCTTGATGGATCGAAAATGTTCCGCTTGTTATCGTAAACGATCTCCTTTAATTGTGTCTCCATAAAGCGTCATGATTAAGCTGGTCCGTGTTACAGAACGTGTTTATCTGAGAAGAAAGGAGTCAGAATCGTGTTGTCCCCAGGCCAGAGGGGACAACTGGCGTTACTTCAATGGCGGGGCTAGACGGGAAACTATAATGTCTCCAGTTGGAAGTATTTCATGTTTCTGTATTGTTTCATGTGCAAACTCAAGAACATGATTTGTGCATTATCTGTTCGTAGGCAGCAGCAGTGAATGGGTACCCGGTAGGATGAGATGGTAATGTTTCTGTTAACCTTCTAGCGCCTCAAAGGCAGCTTGAATTGTATACTCCCAGAGGAGCTGATATTGATTTTTGAGTGCACATTGACTGGGTTAATAATGTCTAAGCGCTTAGAGCATGCTTATGAATGGAGTACAGCGCCATATAAATGGATTATTATTATTATCATCATCATCATCATCATCATCATCATTATTATTATTATAGTCAGGCTTGTTAGGCTCGGGCCCTTGCCCTTGCAAGCGTGACATCTCGAACGCGAGGTCCGCATATTTGCCATGTTTTTCCTAAATCTTGTCAATCACATAAGTGTCAAAAGGGACAGGAAATTCAATGATATTAATGATTTCATTGGATTTATCACAAAGGACAAGTACAGGTTTGTTGGCCTGCATACATCTGAGGCTGAAAACGGGCCTATTCCAAAGAATTTTGAATTTATCATTTTCCATGACGCCCTCTACATATTCTGGGTCGTACCATGGATGGACCTCTGTGTCAAAACCACTAGCATTGCGAAGACGGTAATAAAAGGATCGGGCCATTCCATCATGCCGCTTAAGACACTGTGTTTGTGCCAAAGTGGGGCATACACTCACAATGTGTTGGACAGTCTCATTAAATTCATTACATATTCAACATTTCATATTTACATT